AGTGTCGGGGTTGATCCTGGAGGGTCCTAGCGGGCCCAGGTGGCTCAAAGACTACCCAATTGGCTCCGAGATGGGCCGAGTCGCTCCGGGGTGGGAGGGGGGGTGCGACCTGGGCTTATCACCTCGGGCTGGCGAGCTTGGAGAGTCCCAGGTGGCCGCAAGGGAAAGGGGGGGAGAGCTTCTAATTGAAAGCCTCTTCCAGGACCACCCCCGAACGACCACCTCAGGACCCCCACCCCTCACACACGCCGACAGAGTCGGCGGATGCGCCAGAACTCACGATTATTTGTTGAAGAGATGGTTTTCGGACTCGCTGTGCATGCTGTAGTATTGGCAGCTTCTTCGAACACATGCGAACCCCGTGGACCGTATTTGATCATTCCTCCCGTTGTCCAGTTCCCGCAGCAAGGTCGCGTCTTCTTTGGTGATACATGCTGGTTTGGAGCATGTTCAGAGAGACCAGCAGAGATTGAGTTGAATGGTCTGGTGTCGCTGTGTCCATGCTTGGCTCCAAGGTTGCTGATGATGGGGCACTGGTGCTGAAAGGAGGACCAGGATTCGGGTGTTGGCTCTGGCCGTGTCGACACTCCTCCCAGCATGTCGCAGGGCCAAGACCCTCACAGGAGCAAAGCCCTTCATGCGCCCCTGGTGCCAAGACAGTCGCTGCCGCCATCGGCATCGCACGGCGGCCCTGGCATCGGCGACCACTCGGCTCCTGGGCCGCGGTGGTGCATCAGGATCTGGGAGGCCCGCTCGCTCCGCGGCGCTGTGGCAGGCTCAGACCCCCCCCCTGGGCCCCATCCGCCAGTCAGCATCGTTTAACCGATCCCCGTGCCCACCGGGCCATGGTATATCAGCCCCACCCCCCCAGTTGGGGATAGGGGCCCTCGAAGCCCGAAGGGAACAGCCCGCAATTGCCCCAACCCAGGGGGGCACATCGGCCGGTGGGGCCCAGGCCACTCCGCTGGGGGCATCGGCTGAGCGATGCTGAGCCCACGAGCCCGCTCGGGCGCGCGCGCGCGAGCGATGGCGGCGGATGCCGCGCTGCCGCCCCCCACCGCCGCGGCCATCGCCCGCGCGCTCGCGCCCCGCGCGCCGCCGCCTCGGCCGGCCCGCCCGCGCCGCTGCGGCCGCGGCCCCTCCGCCGCTGCTAAAACAGGGCTAGGATCGGGATAAATCGCTCCAGAGCGTTCCGGAGCGCTCTCAGAGCGTTCCGGAACGCTCTGGAGCGGCCGCGGTGCCCAATACATCCTCCAAACCCGCCGATTCTCAGATATTTCGAGTTATCCCGATCCGATGTTGTCCCGATCTTCGCGTCGTTTTAGTTGCGGCCGAGCGTCCTCGCCGCGCTCGCCTGCGCCGCCCTCGTCGGCCGACGGCTCCGCGGGGCCACCGGGGGCCGCGGGCGTGCGGGCCCCCGGTCCGAGGGCCCGCCATCCGGGCGCCCTCGCGGGGCGGCCTCCCGGGCAGGGCCGGGGCCGCCGGGCTCGAGGGGCCTCGCGGGGCCCAGGGGACCGCGAAGAGGCGCAGAGGTGGCGTGGGGGGGGGGCGTCGGGGGCCCCTCGGGGCGAGGGGGGGGCTGACTTTGAACAGGAATTGAGCAGGGGGGTGGAGGAGCCTGGAGCAGGAATGTGTTGAATGTTCGTTGTAATCATGTTGCCGCGCATTGTCTGTACGTTTCACCTCAACCTGGGCGCTTCGGCCCCTCCCTGCGGCACCCTCGCGGTGCATTCTCGCAGGTCGCAGTTCGCAGTTCGCAGGGGGGCGCTGACTGCGGAGGAGGAGGGGTTCGGTTCGGTTCGGTCGGGCCTCGGCGGTCGCGGGGCGCAGCGTGAGGCTGGCGGTGCATGCGCCTGCTGCCCCTCGGCTGTGCCTGTGGTCGGGTCGGCTTCCCCCGAGGCCCCGCCGCCCGAGGGCCCGATGCTCGCCGTCGCCGTGGCAGGAAGAAGGGGGGCAGGGCGGAGGCGGAGGGAGCGGGGTCGGGGAGCAGGCCAGCCACAGCGGAGGGCCCATCGGCTGCTCGAGACCCCCCTCGACGAGGGGCCGCCGTCGCGGTGGGCTCCCCCGGGAGGGGCAGGGAACGCAGGCCCCCTAAGCGGGGGCTGCTCGGGGGAAGGGCGCGAACGTGTCCCCGCACGGCTCTTGCTGCAGCTCGAGCTCCTCCTCCTCCTCCTCCTCCTCCTCCTCCTCCTTCTCCTCCTCCTCCTCCTCCTCCTCCTCCTCCTCCTCCTCCACGGCACTTCGTGCTTTTCGGCGCGCTCGGATCTCCGCTCGGGCGCTGCGCCGGGTCCGGCGGGCGACGACAGGGGGAGAGGCGGAGGGCGATTGGGAGGGGAAGGAGGAGGACGATTGAGGAGGAAGAGCAAGGAGGGGGAAGGGCAAGAGGAAAAGGGGGAGGGAGAGGGAGTGGGAAGGAGATGGCAATGACAGAGGGGGAATGGAGGGGGTAGGAGGAGACGGAGGGAAGGTATGACGTCGTGTTTTCGGAAATCGTTCTTGCCACGCCGTCATTCGCCTGTCGCTCAATGGCACGTCATATTTTCATTACCCTTCCTTCGACCATTTCAATGTCCTCGAGTCTCTCCATTCGACTATGGCTCGATTTAGCCTTCACTAGCCCCTGCCTAGTCCCACCAGCCTTCTCTTGGCGCCACCGCTGGTTGCTCTAGCAGCCCCAGTCCACAAGCCCTGACGGGCACCTGCTCTGGTCGACGCCCCTGCCTGTCCCTGCGTGTTTCTGCCTGGCCCCGTGGCTATGGATGGCGCCGACGCAGGTTGCCTGGACCATTGACGACGACGACGACGACGACGACGACGACGACGACGACGACGAGTGCGACGACGGCGGCGGCATCGGCGAGGGCGTTGTGACGGCGATGACGGCCCGAGCGCGGAGGCTGCCTGCCATGGCACCAGCCCATGTCCAGACCCACGGACCCTGGATAGCGCCTGCGCAGGTTGTTGCCACCAGTCCCTCCCGAGTCCAGGCCCAGGCATTCCGAACATTGTTTTGTGCCGACGCGCTGGCCTCATCTTGAGGGGAAGGATTGGGTCGGAGCGGGCAGGGGCGCCAGGAATCGGGGAGCAGGGAGAGGGGAGAGGGGGCAGTACAGGGAGCGGAGGAGGAAGAGGAGGGGGAAGACAAGGAGGAGGAGGAGGAGGAGGAGGAGGAGGAGGAGCAGGAGGAGCAGGAGGACCAGGAAGGAGGAGGATGAAGGAGGCAGACGGAGGATGAAGGAGGCAGGCGGAGGATGAAGGAGGCATGAGGAGGAATGAGGTGGGAGGAGGAGGAGGTGGGAGGAGGAGGCGGACCGGAGCAAGCTCAGGAAATTCTCTATCGTCGATTCCCGTCCCGAGCTCTCTCCTCAGAAGTGCATGCACGCAGGACTTGTCACTGTGCGGAGCCCCCGCCCCATAGGCTTGCCATTCTGGCGACGGCCCTGGTCTCAAAAGGGGCAACCATCCACCCTCGGAGCTACGAGAAACGTCAAGATCCCGGGCGATGAAGTTTCTCCATGCGTATAGGCACAAAAGCCCAAGTTTGATAGTGAATCTCCCCCCCCCTCCGTGCAGGTACGGCGCAATTTGGGATTCCAGACCGCTATGCAGAATGAAGATCATTTAGGCGAGAGCCCCATCATGATATTGGTCAGCCTCCCGTTCATTTACTTGTAGTGATTGCTTGTTCGATTGTAACAGAACCTCACGGGGTCACAAAAGATACCCCCATTCGGGAAATTACCTTGCGACGTACCCAACCCATTTGCATCAAGTGACAAGAGGAGTTGTCCCAAACTTGCCAGGACAATGACAGTGCAGGCACCGTTCTATATTGTGCAAGCTACCTGGGACGCGCTCACGTGGCAAGATGTACCGGACAACAACGGAAGGACGAGGAGCGAGGGCCCAGGCTTGAGGAGGACATGGGGCGGGAACGAAGGGCAGGAGAAGGACGCATGGGGGGCCGACACGTCAGCGCGGCAGCAGCAGAAAGAAGGTGGCAGGGGGCAGAGGACGACGACGAAAGTGATGGGAGGAGATCGAAGAGTGTTGCTTTTGCTGGCATTGCGCTGAAGATGCAGCGCTGCCTGCGCCATGTCGCCGCGGCGCTCGGCAACATGATGAAGCCTGCTGACAGTTAGCGCAAGAAGCGAGCGAGGCCGAGCTCGCCCGCCAGCTTCCCGGCTTCCCTCCTGCACTTCTTCAGCGCGGGAGCTAAACGCTCGAAGGCGCGCAGGTCTGCGGGCGGCCCGCGACGGCGCCCCGCTGGAGCCCCCAGCAACCATCGAAAGTTGTAATTGTTTCGCAGATCGCAGCCCCCCAGAGATGGCGAGGTCTAATCTGAATTTGGGTGGTGCCTCATTCCGCTCGGCCACCCAGCAGCCTTCGAAAGAGGCGACAGTTTCGCGGATCGCAGCCCCCCCCCAGCAGCCCTCGAAAGGGGCGGCAGTTTCACAGATCGCAGTCCCACAGGGGTAACCAGGTAGGAGGCAAGTTGGCTGGCAGGACGGAGCGAGGTATAAGGCAGCAGGGATGAGAGAAGAGAGGGGCAGGAAGGATGGTCGCGGCCGCAGCGTTCTATTCAAAACGAGTACCCAACGCAGGAGGACTTGGAAAAATACATCCAACCGCGTAGTTGATGCAAATCGTGCCACGAACGCACCAATCTGAGAGCAATATGTTGAACAACATGGTGCCCCATCTCGAGTGATTGTGGGACGAGTTGAACACCAGGGTGCATTGCGCCAGGGCGAGGGCCACAGTTTGAAAACGACCTGCGGGTCATTCGCGTGGATGCGTTTAAAACGAATGTGCCAGGCGCCCGGACGGCAGCCATCCGTCCTTGTACATTCTGTGCAAACTTGCATCGCGAATGTGCACGGAATCGATGGGAGAGCCAGGTGTTGAGGAACAGTGCGGCCCGCCATTCCGCAGCCATCTGGCTCAAGCCAGCTAGTTGCTTCCGACATACCTGCTGCCGACTAGCCCCCTGCCGCGTCATGATGCCGGGCCGCCCGAGCCCCCGCACCTGCGCCGACGACTGTTCCATGACCGCGAGAGTCACGTTCAAGGACACGACCTGGGGCATGCTGTACGCTGACCTGCATGGGCTGCGGCACCCGGCCGCCGCAGAGGACCCGCGGTGCGCCCCACGGGGCGGAGCGGCGCCGCCCCGCACGGCGACCCGCGTCGGGACCGCCACCGGCGACGACGCCGGCGAGCCGCAGGTCGAGGTGTTGCTGCCGGCCCCTGCGCTTTGGCGCGGCCGTTTTCGCGCCGCCGACGCGGCGCCGCCCCGCACGGCGATCCGCGTCGGGACCGCCACCGACGACGACGCCAGCGAGCCGCAGGCCGAGGTGCTGCCGGCCCCTGCGCTGTGGCGCGGCCGTTTTCGCGCCGCCGGCGCGTGGCCGGAGCGGGCCGCGCCCGGCCGCGGGGCCGGGGCGGCGGCCCCGCGGCGGCCGCCAGGGATGCGCGTCCCCCTGGCGCGCGCCGGGGGCGGCGCCTTCGAGTGATGCCGAGGCACCGCTGCTCGGGGCAGGTCGACCACACCGGTGCCCCGTGGTGCTCGTCGATCTGCTGGCCTCGGCGACTCTGTGCGTGCTGCCGCAGCACCGATGCCGCGGTACCGTGCCAAGCTCGTGGGGAGTCGGTCGCTGCTCCTCCGCGTCCCTTTTCCCCTTTCAGCATGCCGATCCTCCTCCCTGCTTCCTCCCACTCCCCGCGCGCAACTTTTTTCGTAATTAATTTTGAAGTGCGCAACAACCGGAGCTCTTCGGTAGACCATTCGCGCCAAGGCGTGCTGGGCTGCCTTCACGACCTGGTACAGGTGACGCGTGACACCGTTCCTCTTCCTCCTCCTCCTCCTCCTCCTCCTTCTCCGTCTCCTCTTCCTCCTCCTCGTCTTCCTCCTCCTCCTCCTCCTCCACCTCCTCCTCCTCCTCCTCCTCCTCCTCTCCCTCCTGCTCCCCGCGACATGAAGAAGCTGGCAGTGGGGACGCGAGGCGTCCATTAAAGGAGTTTCGGGGCTATCCTTGCAAAGTCCTATTGTTTCGGCGATGTAAGTGCCCAGCGCTCAACCGTGGACGGCGACTCAGCTCTTGCGCGGAAGTTCGTGGCAGGCGTATCAGCATAGGTGCATGAGTTGCTTTCTATGTTTCGATTGTACATATCTGCACGTTTGCTCTCGGTGACCCGCTGGTCTCTTGCGCCGAAGCTCGCGGATTGGCGTCCCAGCAGGCTCCTGCCAGATCTCCCATCTACATCGGTGGTTGACAGACGCCACGTTGCCAAGTCGATCAGCAAGCTCTGGTCGTGAGACCCCTGGTGGTTTCTCGAGAGCGCGAGACAGCTGCCAGTTTTAAGGCTGTGTTTGAATGCGGGTTCTGTCCCACCCTGCGGACCCTCGGACTTCCTGTAGGAAGATGGCTGGCAGGCTACCCGAGCCCAGTGCGCAGCGCGAGTGGTACAGGCAGGAGCTCGGCACTGCTCTGCCCCTGTGCAATGGCAGTTGCGCAAGTCGGGCGTCATGCGAGGCGGTTGGCTCCTCGCATTGTCGCTGCTGGTCCCCTTTTCATCCATCTGCGTAGCCTGGCCCACTGGCCCACTCCACCGTGGCCCCTTCGTTCACTAGGGGGCCACACGCGAAACCCTACAAATAAACCCTACGATTTCTGAGGGGGAGGCTGGGGTCCACTTCGCCTCAGAAATCGTGGAGGGTAGGGGTAGGGTTCGCATGTGGCCCCCTATTCAGACGAAGCAGATCTTGACCTCCCCTGCGCTTGTCCATCGCCCCAGGGCCTGGGGCGGAGACCCCAAGTTTTGAGACCCGGGTGGAGGACTGCCTCGCCTGCGTTTGATCATTGAACGAGTGTGGCATGCTCCGTGTGTGTGCGAAAAAACGATTTGCCATCCACCCGTGTAACCCTTGGAAGTTTGTCGAGACCGCGCGGTCAAGGTCAGCAATAAGGACGAAGTGCTTAATCAAGGCTGCCATTGCACCGTTGCGTCCTCGGCCTCTCTTTTACCGCGTCTGTTGGCCAGGCGCCGCCGCGTGTGTTTCAACACGGACGTGCAAGAATTTTGCGCCCTTAATCGACATCTTTATTCCCTACCTAGGCTCTGCCTAGAAGGGTTCTTACTCTGTAGCTTAAAGGGGCCGGGCAGTGCAACCCGCCCCGGGCGGTTCCCCCAGTCCCCTGGGAGCGGTTCCCCCAGTCCCCTGGGAGCGGTTCCCCCAGTCCCCTGGGAGTTTTAGTTCTAGCTTTAGCTTTAGCTTAGCTTTAGCGTAGCTTCAGCTCTAGCTTAGATTAAGCTTAATGTTAGCTTGGATGTAGCTTAGCTGTAGCTTAGATTTAGCTTAGCTTTAGCTTAGCTTCAGCTTAGCTTCAGCTTAGCTTTAGCTTAGCTTTAGTTTAGCGTTAGTTTAGTGTTAGCTTAGCTGTAGCTTAGCTGTAGCTTAGTTTTAGCTTAGCTTTACCTTAGCGTTAGCTTAGCTTTAGCTTAGCTTTAGCTTACCTGCAGCTCAGCTTCAGCTTAGCTTCAGCTTAGCTTCAGCTCAGCTTCAGCTCAGCTTTAGCTTAGCTTTAGCTTAGATTTAGCTTAGCGTTAAATTAGCTTTAGCTTAGCTTTAGCTTAGCGTTAGTTTAGCTTCAGCTCAGCTTTGACTTAGCGTTAGCTTAGCTTTATCTTAGCTCTAGCTTAGCTTCAGCTTAGCTTTAGCTTTGCTTTAGCTTAGCTTTAGCTTAGCTTTACTGTTACTACTAATGCTGCTTTCCTAGGGGCTCCACCTCCTAGGTAGGGTCGCACTGGGATAATTATTGGTTGTGACTGCAAGGTGTGAGCAAGTTCTCGGGTCGAACGCCGGGCTGGACCTGCCGATGAGTCTGGCGGCGCGACGAGGAGGAGCGATTCGGAGCTGCTCAGAAGGGAGAGGGGTCCAGGAGTGGTGGGGGCGGCATGCTGATCAGGAGGAAGAGGAGGGAGCCCAGACCCTCATAGAAGTCGCAACGTCCGCCGAATATCCATCCATCCTCCCTCCTCGTCGACAGTTGCCGTCCTGGGGCGGGCCTTTCCGACTCCAGCTCCCGCCCCATCTCTCCGACTCCGGCTTTCCCGACCCCGGCTCCCAAAGTCCGACTCCAGTTTCTGAGCGGCCAGCCCATTCCGGCGCCCCGGCGCCCTCCCGCCGCACCCTCGTAGGTGCCTCGACGCGGGCTCTTGCTTGCTTGCTTGCTTGCTTGCCTCCCCCCTCGGTCGCGCGGCTCGCGCACGCGTGCTGCAGGTGCGTTGGCCTTTGAGTTTCGCTTCGCGCATGCTGTTCTCAGCCTCCCCCTGGCAGGGAGGAGGCGGAGAACCAGAACTCCCTGGAACCCTCTACCACGCTCCACCGAACATCCCCAGACCCTCGCCCCCCCTCCCCCCGTCATCCTTCAGGAGGGGAAAAAAAAACCACACAGACACCATGGATCGTCAATCCCCAGGAAGACATGGGAAGTGGCGGGGGGGAAGACGGAACTCCAGAGACTATGAGACAATATAGGGGAATCTTTGTATTTCCCTACCTAGGCTCTGCCTAGAAGGGTTCTTGCTTTCTTTGCTTAAAGGGCCGGGCAGTGCTACGCGCCCCGGGCGGTTCCCCCGGTCCCCTGGGAGCGGTTCCCCCAGTCCCTTGGGAGCTGTAGTTTTTAGCTTTTAGCTTTAGCTTTAGCTTTAGCTTTAGTTTAGCTTTAGCTTAGCTTTAGCTTAGCTTTAGCTTAGCTGTAGCTTAGCTCTAGCTTAGCTTTAGCTTAGCTTTAGCTCAGCGTTAGCTTAGTTTTAGCTTAGCTTTAGCTTAGCTTTAGCTTAGCTGTAGCTTAGCTCTAGCTTAGCTCCAGCTTAGCGTTAGCTTAGCTTTCAGCCTAGCTTTAGCCTAGCGGCAGCTTAGCTTTAGCTTAGGTGTAGCTTAGTTTTAGCTTAGCTTTAGCTTAGCTTTACCGCAGCATTAGCTTAGCGTAGCTTTACCTTAGCTTTCTAGCTTAGCTTCAGCTTAACTTTCTACTGTAGCTTTAGCTTAGCTTTAGTTTAGCGTTAGCTTAGATTTAGCATAGTTTTACCTTAGCTTTAGCTTAGTGCTAGCTTAGCTTTAGCTTAGCTTTACTGTTGCTACTAATGCTGCTTTCCTAGGGGTTCCAACTCCCAGGTCGGGTCGCACTGGGATAGCTGTGTGTATTTATTCTCTTGCACAGCTGTGTTCTAGAGAGCTCGGACCTCTTTATTTTCGTGGTTCGTGGTTCATCCTCCTCCCCTGGTTCGTCCTCTTCCCCTGGCCTCCCCCTCTGGCTTCCTGGCTCCCCGGGGCCTCCCAGGGCAGCTCCCCTGGGTCGCGGAACCCTTTCTGTTGGTGTTTCGTGGCCCGTCCTCCTTCCCCCGTCCTCCGCTGCCTGACGGTGCAAGAGCCAGGGCGGCACGCGTGCTTGTGTGTGTGTGTGTCCCCGAGCCCTTTCGATCCTGTTCCCTCCTCCTCTCGCGGGGTGGAGGCGCCTCGGCGCCTCCAGGAGGAGGAGGAGGAGGAGGAGGAGGAGGAGGAGGAGGAGGGGAGGAGGAGGAGGGGAGGAGCTGCGCCCGCTGGCCGGCCGAGGTCCCTGTACTCGCGGCTGGGCCTCCCCGACGCGCCCTGCGCCCTGCCGGACCTGCGCCGCGCGTGCCCCCGGCGCCTTGCTCTCGCCGGCCCTGCCACGGCCGGCGTCCGGAGGGGCAGGGCCGCGTTCCCGCGGCCCGCCCTCGCCACGGAGGGGCGGGGCTGAAGTCGGGCGTGTCCCTCTACAGGAGGAGTATTCCAAGATAGTCAGAACAATAGCCTGGGGACCATTTTTTGTGCTAATTGTTTCTGATGTTTTGGGGTGTTTCGATGTATTGTCAAGTTTTCCCCAAAGTCCCCCTGTAGGGGGGCAGGCCCGACCTGGGGCTGGGCGCGCTCGTGGCATGTCTGACATCCCAGCCCTCCCACCAGGCGATCCCCATCGAGCTGTCTCTGTGTCCGCCAGCGGGTGTCCTGGCGGGCCCGAAAACCTCAGAGGAGGGCCCCTTATCGCGCTATGCGCCGTCCGAAAAAGCGAGCCAAGTGCATTGGATGAGGAGGAAAACGAGGAGGAAGAAGCAGGCACCGGCTCATCAGGAGGGAGCCCACACTAGGGACACATTCAGGCACCAGCTCAGCACCGACCGCAACCAGTACTTCCATGACCTTGGTATCAAACTAGCAGACAGCAGAACAGCACGGGACGCCAGGTCCGAGTGGCAGCTGACCAAGAAGATCCTGATCCACGGCGGCCGCAAGCCAAAATACGACAGCGCGTTACCCACCATGCAGCACTCCGACGGTACCATCATGGGCAGTCAGAGCGAGATCAGCCGTGCCACGCTCCAGCACTTCGCCAATATTGAGTCAGCAGACATCAGGGACAAGTACGACCACACGGACCGCTACAACCACAGCCGCATTGGCAGGTCACCACCCGGTGAGGTCTCGCAGCGC